CCAATATCAAATTAAACCCCAAATTTCGTTTTTCTTTTAAAACATTGCTATGAAAAGGATTTCGCAAGTTAAAGTATAAAAATTTTCTTCCATTACAAGATTACAATAATTAGAACGTCACAAATATAAGGCTTACAATATTACAGAAATTACAAGAATTACAAGCAGCTGGCAAGAATTTCAAGAATTACAAAATTACAAGACTACAACAGTTACAAGAATACAACAGTTAGAAGAAATACAAGTTTACAAGGATTACAGCAATTACAAGATTACAGCAATTACAATATTACAGCAATTACAAGATTACATCAATTACAAGATTACAGCAATTACAAGATTACAACAATTACAAGATTACAGCAATTACAAAATTACAGCAATTACAAGATTACAGCAATTACATGATTACAGCAATTACAAGATTACAGCAATTACAAGATTACAGCAATTACATGATTACAGCAATTACATGATTACAGCAATTACATGATTACAGCAATTACATGATTACAGCAATTACATGATTACAGCAATTACATGATTACAGCAATTACATGATTACAGCAATTACAAGATTACAGCAATTACAAGATTACAGCAATTACATGATTACAGCAATTACATGATTACAGCAATTACATGATTACAGCAATTACATGATTACAGCAATTACATGATTACAGCAATTACATGATTACAGCAATTACATGATTACAGCAATTACAAGATTACAGCAATTACATGATTACAGCAATTACAAGATTACAGCAATTACAAGATTACAGCAATTACAAGATTACAGCAATTACAAGATCACAGCAATTGCAAGATTACAGCAATTACAAGATTACAGCAATTACAAGATTACAAGGATTACAAGATTACAACAATTACAAGATTACAGCAATTACAAGATTACATAGATTACAAGATTACAGCAATTACAAGATTACAGCAATTACAAGATTACAGCAATTACAAGATTACATGGATTACAAGATTACATGGATTACAAGATTACATGGATTACAAGATTACAGCAATTACAAGATTACAGCAATTACAAGATTACAGCAATTACAAGATTACAGCAATTACAAGATTACAGCAATTACAAGATTACAGCAATTACATGATTACAGCAATTACAAGATTACAACAATTACAAGATTACAGCAATTACAGGATTACAGCAATTACAAGATTACAACAATTACAAGATTACAGCAATTACAACATTACAGCAATTACAAGATTACAGTAATTACAAGATTACAACAATTACAAGATTACAACAATTACAAGATTACAACGATTACAAGATTACAGCAATTACAAGATTACATGGATTACAAGATTACAGCAATTACAAAATTACAGCAATCACAAGATTACAACAATTACAAGATTACATGGATTACAAGATTACATGGATTACAAGATTACAGCAATTACAAGATTACAGCAATTACAAGATTACATGGATTACAAGATTACATGGATTACAAGATTACATGGATTACAAGATTACATGGATTACAAGATTACAACAATTACAAGATTACAACAATTACAAGATTACAGCAATACAAGATTACAGCAATTACAAGATTACAGCAATTACAAGATTACATAGATTACAAGATTACAGCAATTACAAGATTACAGCAATTACAAGATTACATAGATTACAAGATTACAGCAATTACAAGATTACAGCAATTACAAGATTACAGCAATTACAAGATTACAAGGATTACAAGATTACAAGGATTACAAGGTTACAAGGATTACAAGGTTACAGCAATTACAAGATTACATGGATTACAAGATTACAGCAATTACAAGATTACAGCAATTACAAGATTACAGCAATTACAAGATTACAAGGATTACAAGATTACAAGGATTACAAGGTTACAAGGATTACAAGGTTACAGCAATTACAAGATTACATGGATTACAAGATTACAGCAATTACAAGATTACAAGGATTACAAGATTACAGCAATTACAAGATTACAAGGATTACAAGATTACAACAATTACAAGATTACAACAATTACATGATTACAGCAATTACAAGATTACAAGGATTACAAGATTACAAGGATTACAAGATTACAACAATTACAAGATTACAGCAATTACAAGATTACAGCAATTACAAGATTACAGCAATTACAAGATTACAAGGATTAGAAGATTAGAAGTATTAGAAGAATGACAAGATTACAAGGATTACAAGATTACAAGGCTAAGGATAGTGAAGGATAAAGTGGGTTTCAGCGAGACATGGACCCGTTACCGCAAATCGCAAGTTTATACCGCAGAGTTTATACGTTTGGCTGTGCTGCTTTATATTTTGAGAAGAAAGCGACACCGTTCGATTCAGCATAAGAAATTGTACTTACGGATGTCAAGTGTATACTTACGGATGTCAAGATATTACTAAACACCAGTATTCTAGCGATTTATGGCCTTTGAAAATCAAGTGAAATTGTATTGTTGAAAAATCGCTCGCAGTACGTATTATTGTTAATCACTCGCACCACGTTTGTCCTTGTATTTGTAAATGCCTAATGGCGCAATAAGGATAAAAATACCACCATTCGATTCAGCGTAAGAAATTGTACTCACTGATGTCAAATGTACTAAACAGCAGTATTCTAGCGATTTATGGCCTTTGAAAATCAAGCGAATATTTGTAATGCCTAATGGCGCAATAAGGATAATAATACCACAGTTCCATTCAGCGTTAGAAATTGTACTGATGTCAAATGTATTACTAAACAAGCGATTTATGGCCTTTGTCTTTGAAAATCTAGCGAAATTGAATTGTTGACAAATCGCTCAAAATTATTAAACTATTAATTATAAAAAATGCAGGACGTTTGATTCTTGGTAACTTTGGTACCAGTGGATTCGTCTCACTTCTCTCTTCATTTTGATAGTATTTTGAGCCCAAAAATATTTTATTTTGAACGTTTTAAAATTAAAGCGCGTTTAATCCTAGCGTACGGACCAACTGGCGGCTAACAGACTGCAACCACTGTAACCATTGCACCCACTGCAACCACTGCAACCATTGCACCCACTGCAACCATTGCACCCACTGCAACCATTGCAACCACTGCAAACATTGCACCCATTGCGACCACTGCAAACAATGCACCCATTGCGCCCACTGCACCCATTGCACCCAATGCAACCACTGCAACCACATGAACCGTCAGGGCTATTTTGACAGGATTGCAATTGGAAACGAAAATCGTGTGGGAAAACCCTTTCACCTAACAGCCAATCACAGTGCGTCTTCCGAGCACTGCGAGATTACCCATTTGTAGTAGGATTTTAGGGTGGTACAACCTGCGAACAGGTAGTGAGCACATGGACTCTCAATGGCCGCTAGTTTATAGGATAATGTCGTAGAAGAAAAACCATATTTGATTCGTGTTTTTGTTCATGTAATGTTTATATTGTTGTTTGATATCAAAGTATATGTTTATATACACTGACTACTACAATTGGTGGAGGATGCAAATCGTTTTAACAGAATTTTAGAGGATTTTTTACATCGTTTGTAACAAGAACTAAATACAGTATGGCGACAGTTGAGGAACTCACAGGGATCGTTAAAGGACTAGCTGACGTGGTAAAGTCCCAGCTAACAAACCAACATGATGCCCAAGAAGCAAATCGACAACACATCGAAGCACTCGCGAAAACTGTCGCAGATTTAGCCACAAATTCCCCAAGTTCAAGCCATGTTGACACTTTGAAGTTGCCTCAAGTGGTTTTACCTCGCTATACAGGTAAGCCTGACGAACAACTTGACCGTTTTCTTGACCAGCTTACGACGCTATTAAAATCTTCTGGAGTTCCAGCTAAACATTGGACAACCTATCTTAAGCAACAGGTGCAGCAAGATTTACGTGCTTATGATTCTGTTGTGTTTGCTGAAGAAGAATGTAAACATGCTCTTGGAGAGGACCCTGCCAATATTACTATCGAACAGTATGAAACGTACTTTAACCTTGTCAAAGCCTCGTTAGTTAAGAAACGTGGAAAACCTAAAGATGAACGTATACGTGAATTACTTCAAGTCTACTACAACCTCCAACAAAGTAGAGCAGAACCTGTTTCAACTTTTGCACATCGATTCTGTGACATTCAACACGAACTCGAGAAATGTATTCCTGGAATACACTATACAGGCACGAATGATGATATCGAACTGAGACATGCATTTTTGATAAAACTTCGACCTGAAATTGGAAAAGCTCTGATGAGCCGAGACGCCAAGCATTCTTCTCTATCGGAAGTTATTGAAGCTACTAACAGATTTGAACAAAGTTTTCCCCCATTACCTCTCCTTTCAGCAGAATATGTTGACCCATTTCGTGAAGACAAAGCTATGTTAAAACCCAAATCCTGTTACAACTGTAATCAACCTGGTCATTTCAAAAGAAACTGTCCTGCTTTGTACAATCCTGGGACAAACCAAGAACGAAAACAAACATTTCGTGGAAATACTACCAGTCAAACCGAAGTGTGCCTCCAGTGGAATCAACGAGCTGTTCCTCGCTGCTTACTTCCTGATAATCAATGCAAGTTTCATTGACAACATGTGTGTCTGGTTTGCAAAAAGAAGGGATGTAAACAACTGTTG